TGCAAGGAGCATGATACAATGATCGTAAGCACTGGCAAAAAAAAAATAACCAATACCTATTCTGGACATTTTAGGGTGGAAATATTAGCTCTCTTTCACAATTAAACCATGCAGGCTGCAGTCAAACGTGTGATGACCAAAATATCAAATACAAGTTCCTTTAAAAATTCCAAATCCTGCAGTCCATGAACAGCAAAACACTGATTCCGGCTAGATTTAAATGCTATGTTGCATACAAGCACAGGAGGGCAGTCATTTGTCTAATAAAGTGGGATTAATACCAACCATAATTCCTCACATTGTGCCCAGTCAATGTAGAGAAGATTCAATTCAGTGTTTTTACTTCCAAAAGCCTAATATGAAAGATTGGATTGTCTGCCTCATCCAACTGCACAAAAAGCAGTTAATGCCAAATCCATCCTAGCCCAGAACATTATTATAAACAGATCATTTATTTGATTTTCCTTAACAGAGACATTCAATCAACTGCCTGAGCTGAAAACTAGCAGAGGGGAAAGACTAGAAACAGATAGTAGAAATAACTTGAGAAATTTAGCTCTTGGGTGCATCGAGACCTTTTTTCCTGCTCTCATCCTAACCCTATGTCATGGTTTTATGATTTTTGGTTATCGGTATTCCACATCATAACATCATGTAGTGCACTGGGAGTTAATACTCAAGTTCCGGGTACCTGCCCGGAAGAGAAGAAGAACTACATTGCCCAGAGGGCTCTGCAGTCAGGGAGGAGATATAATTCCTGGCAAGGTCACCTGATGCGCTCTTCTTCGTCCTCCCTTCTTCATCAGCTCTTCTTCATCTCCCTGCTGCTTAACCAGACTGCACATCTCACCTCAGCCAGGTGAGTCCTATCCACCTTTCAGACATTCTCTCATTGTATTTGATTTATTAGCTTCAATTGTAATTATATTGTATTATAGTGTGTTATTCCGATACCATATTTAGTAAATAAGTTTGTTTCTCCTCAGATCATTGCTGCTGTTTTTAATTATTTTGGGGTCCCCCGTTCCCTTTTCTGGAGGCACGGATTTTGCGAAATCCCCCCGCCCCGCTAAACACGGAACTGGGCCGAACCATTGACACCCTACCACTACCTTCATGAGTGGTGAAAGTCATCCACTCCTGGTAGAAACAGCCAGTGAGAAATCGACCTAGAGATAACGAGCCAGGTGTCCTCAGAGAGTGTCACAAATGACAGTAAAAATCACAGAAAGATCAGCAATGCATTTCAAAACCTCGAGAGAACCTAAAATTTGTAAGCATTACTGTGGCATAATGAATGCTTTCTCTCAACAATTCGTTTTGCAAACTCTTTGGCACTACCTGCCATTTCACTCATAAGTCCATCGTGTTCAGGTTGTTCTGCAGTCCTGCAGTCCCATGATGAAATAAGAGACAGATCAGCAATATTGTCATATTTTGTCAGAAGACTTTGGGAGATTGAACTGCAATTGTTATATTTACCTTTTTCTTCCCACAAAATCTTTTTAACTGAAAGAGAAATTAAAACTGGAAAGCGCTGTTCTGGTAAGGTAAGCTTGTATTCAGCTTCAATCACAGAGCTGCAAGATCTAGGATAGCCTTTTATCCCAAAGTTTCATTTGAAACTACATGGATAAAGAAAAGTCTCAGAAAAAAATAGCAGCTGTATCAACTGAAGAGTTTAAATAGTGGAAAACAAAAAACTATTTTCTTCCATGAGGCTAAAGGATTTTCTGGAGTATATTTATATGAATACAGCATAATTTACCAGTGTTTATACACTCTAAGCTCAAATTTTATCTGTGGACAAGGCTGCAACACCTAATAAATCCAAAAGGGAATACAAGGTTCCTTTCAAATCTCTTCGAATTTTCGTGCTTCTAAGATTAATCATCTGATTTTTACTTTTATCTTAGCTCTTACGTACTACTCCAAATTGTATTAAAAGTTCCTTTCCAAAGTAACTCTTTCCTCCCATTTACTATTTATATTTTTCTCAATGCTCCCTCTGTTGCATTATTTGTTATTTCATGCAGCCAGCCCCTGCTGAACAGAGGATGACGTTTCTCCATTCTTCATGTAGTTTTCAGGATCTCTTTGATTCTCCAACACATTCAAGAAGGCAGGTTTTTCTCCTGGTTTTTACTAGTTCAGCATTTTTTCCTCTAACCCTTGCAATCCTCACCCCTTCCCCATCTAAAAAAAGTTTTGATCTGATAAGCAGAAGAAATTTAGGGATACTTTTATCTGAAGTAGTTCCATTTTAGCTTTCTTATTCAGGAAAAGATCTGTGAAACACAGTTCTTTAAGAACTCTCTTCCAACAGCTATCAGCCAAGGAAGAACCCACTCCCAGGCTGTGATGTGGCGATGAGGACATCCTTCTATCTGCTGACAGGATAAAATATCCAGAGCCACAAAATATTCCAGAAGAGCAGAATCTAAAAAGACAAGCAAATCTATTCTCTATTTTTAATGCTTTCATCTATTAGGTCAGATGTCACCAAGACCAACAGTTTCTATAGAATACCAAAGTGTTCCAGAAAGCAATACCAGACTAGAGAAATAATGCAAACAAGAAAACTGTCTGCACCTAGAAGTGTAAGAAGTTCACTTCAGAATAATAAAGCCCTCTTCACACAGTGTGCTGGGAAAAATGAAAATATAAACATTTACAGAAAAATGTGTGTGTGTACATATACAGTTTGTCCTTCACACTTTAAAAACCACTGTAGTTTTGCCCAAGAAATCGAGAACTATAAAACTCAGAACTCAAATGATTGTAGCCCTCAGAAAACAAAAAAACAACTTGCTTTTTCTACTACTTTATTGCTAAAGAATTTGTAGGAGGATTTTGTAAGAAAAACTGTATACTTATCCAATATCTCCTATTTTGTAAATAAGATTTACAGCTACTATGTAAAAACTGTGAGTGTATCACAGTACACCCTCTCACTCAGGTTCATGAAAGCAGAGATACCAAAGCCTTATGAATGTTAGGCTACCAGCTTACGGACTTGCCAAAGCATAAAGTACAAGATTCATTCAGCTTGACACTGAAGCCAGTAAGGTTTTCTTCAATTGCTCAAAAAGCTACTAATGCAAAGGAATCACTGATCTGACAAAGGCCTCTGGACATGACTGCAAAGCAGAGACAAAAGTAGTTAGTGCACATTAGTGCTGGAAAACACATAGGGCTGGCATTGCAGTAATAAAATGCTATTGCCATATAATTGCTTTTCTGACCATATCTAGATACAGTTATATCACAAAAAAACAGAGCCAGAAAAACCTAGAAGGTCTTCCAGTCCACTCTCCTGTCTGCACAGATGATTGCAAGGTAACTCTTCTGTATGTGTATCAGACAGAAGACCCACTGCGACAGGCAGTGCAGGAGTCTGGTTTCCATCCAGGCTCAAAGTTTAAACAAAATATAGCTGGAAATTCATTTCTGTCTAAACCCCACAAGCTTCTCAATAGTTGCAGGACCTCTGACTTTTCAATAATGCTTAGAGCAGCTCCACCAGACACACACGCATCTGAGCGCAGATTCTAGACAGAAATATCCGAAGGGCAAGACACAGGCTGTTGTCTATGACTAAAATTTTGCAGAATAAAACAAGAGCAAAACATTAATAAACTCAATTGGGGGCAACATAGCTAAACACTGGTAAAACAGTGCACGCTAACAGAAGTCAAATAGGTTTTACTGATTCCGAATCTTTTCATTTTCTAATTTCTATAGCAAAATTTGATTTAAGAACATTCACTTCTAAGGACTTATAACATGCATACCAAATGATGGTATGACTGTACGATATGATTGGCAATGCACAAATCAAGTTAAGAATTGCATTCGAAATAAGAGTGGTTTTAACTTTTCATGGTACCATATCCTCTTTTTAAATAAATGTAGCATACTAAAAGCATAAAGAAATTAAATTAAATTTCTTTCTAATCTTTTTGTTCTAAATTAAAACATGTTATGAAACTGAGTTAGTATTAAAGATTCAATACTGCAAGGCTTTGTGTTTCTATTTCATGAAAATTTGCAGACATGAAGATGCTATACAGCACAAAAACACTGTTACAAAGAATTTTGGCAGTGAACGAGTTTGTGTTAGAACTCAGTTTTGATGATTCTTTGAATCTAAGAGACCTGAGTCCAAAAATGTCATCTAACTGTGATTTAGCTTTGGTAGTAGTTAAAAAGTGAAAAAACATTCTCTTTTTTCAAATACTTTTTTTTAAAAATATATATTTTCAAAACATTCTAAGAGACCATATTCTCTTCAAAAGAACACTAAGAAGTGTACACACTATAAAAATATTTGCAGAGAAAAAGAGAAGTTAAAATAGTTCACATCATTTGGAAAATCTGGATAAAAGCACAAAGTGCTGAATTTGTTGTAAAGAGGTGGCACTTAAAAAATTGAAATCGTTTATTTAAAGATTTACCATTCTAGCTATAGCAAGCCAACCATTTGGAATTCAAGGTGAATAAATAAACTGCCCTTTTGTTAGGCATTGTTATTACCACTAGCTTTTTTCGTTTCTTTTTTTTTTTAATTTGTCATAGGCTATTTCAGATCCAGGTCTGTGAAACTGAGTTGTTTGGCTCAAAAGGCCATTTTTTGAAAATGCTTTAAAAATAAGAAGGATACAGAAGGTTAGACAAAAAAAAGCAAGAAAATGAGTGTGCTAATTGTTCATCCACAAACTTTCAAGCCACAGCAAAGTTGATAAAACTTGCTTGATCTGTTTTTTATACAGTTAATCTTTGGCCTTTCTCAATAGCTAGAGAATTATCGATGCCCTCATTAGGTTTAAGATATGGCCACACATTGAATACTGAGATCTGTGATTATTTTCTAGGATGAAAACAAAGAGTCTCATTCACGTACTGTAATTTCTGATCAGTCCAGCTATGGTGAGTTCTGCCAATTTTGCTCAGCTGATAAATAACAAGAAATTATTAAATGTAATTTTCTGAGTACTTACATATTCTTGGATTTGAATGCTTCAGCAAAGTTCTGCACACTGCGAAGAGAAGCAAGGTCTAGGGTCATCGCTTCTACCTTGGCTTTATGCTGGAACAAGAGAAAATAAAATAAATAGAAGACAAATAACAGCAAGTTTAGTTCACAGTATGGTATTATAGAAAATGTATTATGAAACAAGACTGAGTCTCTTGTTCAACATTACAACCCCAAAGTGAATACAAATCATCAACAGGAGTGGACGAGCACAACACTCAGTGCCAAAAATAGTAATTTTATTGTGGTTCTGCTAAAGACCATATAGTGCACAGCTTTAAGTAATGCAATGATTTGACACGAGGTAGTTTTAAGGTTAATCTGGTACAATTTTTCCTTCCCTTTAGCTGGTGAAACTTCTAAGCAAGTCATGAAATAAAAGGTGCAGTAAGCGTTATTCTTAATGCATGCATTTTAAATAAGCCAATAGAAATATATATATTTCAAAAATACTCCATAAAACCAGCTAAATTCAACCTTGTATATTAACCTAAAACAATCTGCTACTCATAGCAGGAGATACATAATTGTAGAAAACAATCTATCCACCTACATAGTTTTTCATTCAGTAAGAGTTTAGCAGGGTAAAATATTTTCTAAACAAACAGCTTACGATCTTAAAGCAACATTAGGAAGAGGACATACATTCCTGCAAAATGACAGGTTAACCCGAAGGTGCTAACCTTAGACATCAGCCAAACAACAATTAATATTTTCAATTTCAAGACCCCTGTCTTCATTCCTTTTGAAATCTCAGAACAAAATCAGCACAAAGTCTATTTCCACTGCAACCAGTGAAGGGGGAAGCCAGCCCAAGACTATGGCTCTCAGAAGCCACAATTTTGAAAGAGCTTCCACTTGGCTGCAGTGAGCACCTTATGTCCATGCACAACACCCAGCCATTGCCTTTAGTTCTTCCACAAATGCTCTACCATAAGACACCCTCAAGAGAATACCAAGCACCATGACGTGCAGTTTGCATAGATCCCCTAATGAATGATGTACGTGTGCATCTGTTCTTGCCCTCATTTTTAGGATCAGTAAACTCTCTGGCACCTAAAGGAAGCTGGCAAGGGCCCTGTATTCCTCCCCAGTCTTCAGTCCAATTTGCTTATCTCACTCAGCAGAAAAGAAATTAGAGGGACACTTCATGCAATTCCAATGCTACCTATTCCTATGTGTACAGTCATAGTTTAGACAGAACGTTAGCACTGCTATAAGAGACTGAAAAATAATCATATAGAAGACTGGAAAAAAGGATGAGAACAGTGGCCCTATACAATCAAAGCATTTGAGTGGAGAGGCAGTAGATTTGATACAAGCATCATCATGCAATGAGATCTACTCTGGCTACAGAACAACACAATGAGCAATTCTGCAGGAATACAAAGGCACTGGTAGGCCTACCAGCACAAAACGAAGCCTGGAAGAGCAATCTCATTGTATCCAAAGTTCAAGCAATTCACTTGATCCCTGTGTTTCATTGCATCTGGTGCTTTTCTCACTATGTCTGCTTTTGTTGTTGTTGCTGTTTTTATTTATTTATTTTGCTAGCACCCATTCTGCCTGCTGCAATTACCTTGCAGGTTGGGTTTAAACAGAATGTCACTCAAATTCTTTTTGTCCTACTCCTGCCAGACCTAATAAAACAGCAAAATAAATATAGCCAAATTTTGACAGGTTCAGTTCGCATTAGGAAGTATCCATCAATGGGAGTATGAAGGTGCTAAATGCAACTTTCCTAAGAAAAGTCTTTGCACCCTCACAAGACACATGTCATTAAAGCACTGGGATTCATTTTGCCCCACTGGGTAAATGTTTACTCCTGTTTGAAAAAGAAAGTCAGTGCTGCCCTGTGTTATGCAACAGAGCTGCAGAAAAATCTCTTCAACTTTGCAGTCTAAAGTTGTTTACTTAATAGATAAGTAGTGTACAGAGTTGGGTTTATTTTACTTCAGCTTCCCTCAGTTGAAAAATTCTCCTGCCTCTTGCAAGCAAAAAAGGACAAGAATGCTATAAGAGGGGCATAAGAGGGGTAATACATTAATTTTTAAAAAAATTAAGCAGTTCAGTAGACTATACCACAAGCTGCTAGTTACTATCTTCTTGTTAACAAATTTAAGAAACTATATTAAAAAAGACCTAAAAATAAATATTTTTTTAGGGTACGGATGGCTTCATTAACTTTTCCCATTGAATAGGTAGCAGAAAAATGACAAAATATTTCTTTTTTCAATATCCCCCCTGCTTTTGCTTTAAAAAAAAAAAAAAAAAAAAGATGCTAACAGACTGTAGTTCCTTTGAATATGCACGAGGTGTGTGTGGAGCACAGAAGACGCTCAACTGCTCTGTTTCCCTCACAGAAGAAAATTGAGCAAGTGAAGTCCACAGCACTCTCAGCAGAATGTGCCACTGAAGTTTATGACAGCATGCAGAAGCCAGGCTGCTCTGAGTATTTTCCCAAAACAGCAACTGGGAAAGACCTGTGGTCTTAGGCAAGTTTCTCAACTTTTCTGTTTCAGATTCTTCCTTGCAAACTCAGATTCAAGCACTTCTCACAGAGACCATCAGTTCTTCCTAAAGGACAGAAACACTAAGCCTTTAGTTTCAGCACACTTTCACTCCTGATTTTTCTACTCTCTTTCATGTTACAATTGAAAAAAATAATATTAAAAGAAATAAAGAAAGCTATGAATAAAGCAAGGTACTTGAAAGCTAAATCACTAATAATGTCAGAAAATTCCAATCAGTGACAGGAATGAGGATTTTGGTTGTGGTTTTGTTTTTTGTTTTTCTAATTGTTTTTTTGTGTGTTTTTTTGCTTGTTTGTTTTACAATAGCTCAGCATTACCTTTAATGCTTTCCCTCTTTCTCTGCATGCCTAGGCAGCAGATATCACAGCATTTATTAAAACAGAAAAACATACAATTTTTATCAAAAAAGATAATAAAGAAAACATATTTCTAAAAGGCATGAAAACCATAATTGTAATCCACAGTCAGAAGTGATTGCTAATGGTATGCTGCAAATCCTGATCTAATGTGTCATAATTTTATTATGCTGATGTCTCTCACCATTTTACTCCACATATTTTCAGTACCGAATTATGCCTCGTTTTATGTTGTGAAGTCTTAAATGGGACTTGTCACTTTCCCAAATACAAAAGACAGTCAAGCTTAGAACTGACATCATAATATTCAACACAGTAAGACAGCAAACTCTAGAATCTTTTTTAATTAAGTTGATAAAATATATCAATCCTCCTTCTACTACTTTCATTTCAATTACATCATCTAAGGGAAAATTAAACAACAGAACGGGTGTAGAATAATTTAGGTAGCTCACTTCTAGCTCACGGGACCATTACTACACAGTGCCCATCCACAGCCTGTGCCAAACGAGCTGCTGCCCTTGCAGCAGATTCCCAAAGCTACCCTCACACCAGACCCACACCAATTCTGCAAACCAGCCAAAAGGAGAACACACACACAGCAGAAATGTGGTTGCACTCCTTGAGTGAAAAGGGGGCTCTGGGGGGCACTTGAATTTCATGCAGCCCAAAGAGCAGTTCAAGGCTAACAAGATGTAGGAACCAGCATCGTGTCTTTGAAGAAGCAGCCAAAGACATATCATTCTCTAGCTCCTAACAAGGCCCCCTCCAACAACACTGTAACGTTTTGAAAAATGTAAAGTAAAAATTTTATCTCGTATTTGATGGTTATATGCTCAGATCTGAAAGCATTTTATCAATATTTCCAGATAAGTTTCATTGCTCTGAATAGAAATAACACCAGAAAACACTGTATTTAGTTTTGTATGCAAGTTGCTCCCTATTGAAGCAAAAATATTAAAAATACTTATGTGCAATTGGCTATATTTTGCACTCATGCTAGAAAAATGCTTATTGAGGCAGAAACTAACAAGAAAGTGAAAACATCCAGAAAGCAAGCAATTTCACTATATGCAATGTACTCACTTTACAGCTTAAAAACTGTTTAAAAATGAACACTGCATGGTAGAGTAGCTTGGCAGTAAACATGATTGTGCATTTGTGTCTTGGTATTGAAGAAGGAGCTCTTTTTCATAGTGAATTTTTCATTCAAATGTAAGTGATGATTTACGTTAAATATAGGTAAAGCATAGCTACATTTTCCTGAAGGATTGCAAGGAAGTGAAGAGCAGTACAATAAGTTGAAGCATAAAAGCTTTCTCTGTCATAATATTTATTATAATGGCATATAAAATAGCTGAAATAAATAATAGATGACTAAAAGTAAATTCATATGATAAAGAATCTTTCAGCAGACACCATTACTTCTGACTGCTCCAGTTTCATACAGAGTTGAAGAGTCTTAATAAATATGCTGTAGCCCCTGTATCTCATGTAAGTACAAGTCACTTGGTGAGGGCCTACTTAAAATGTAACAGAGTGGACACTGGATAATTTACTGCATAATTTTACTCTCAAAAGGTATCATGTACGTATCTGTGGCATTTAAAAGCCCTAAACTCAAAGCTGAATACACAGAACAACTAAAAATATCTGACTTCAAGGGACTGAAAATACAAGAAACTGGTTAAAAAGAGCTTGATAATCTTGATGACTGCCTTGTTATGCAAATAATTCTTTTATACAGGGTGAGAAATAAAAAAATCTTCAAAAAAAATATTTACCTTAAAATACATAAAGTAAACAAATAACCAAAACTTAGCAGCTGACAAGCAATGCCAAAATAAACCCCCATTTTCATGCTAAGGGCAAAGTAGAGGATGTTTCAGAAACACGTCTGGCAATTTGACACACAGCTTATGACAGCCAATAGCCAGTGCCATGCAGTATTTATCGAGGAACATTATAGGGAAAAAAGCTTTCACTCAGGATTAGGACTGTAAATATTATTGTCCCTAGTGTATTCAACATTTGGTACTTCATGCAAAACTGTATTTATGTAATGCTTGCTTGATATTGCTGTGTGCTTTGAATGCTACGCAATTCCTTCTCATGGATCTGAATGGGACAAATGAATCTCTTTGCTAGAAGACCCAAAGATACA